AGCTCAAATTGTGAAGCCATTGAATTGGAAGACAAGGATTTGCAATAAATGGGAGATTACTGGGTATTGTCCGTTTGGTGCTAAGTGTCATTTTGCTCATGAAGCTGCAGGTAAAGATACCGGCTTTTCTTCGATTTTTGTTTGCTATAGTTTGAGGAATAGAATGGTTAGACTTGAGCATAAGGACTGAATTAAGTGTAAGGGTCTCTTGTTGTTAGTTTAGTTAGTGATTTTTTGCAGGTTTGATTAAACTTTAAAGCAATGCTTGACGAATGGGTTGTGTGAGAATGGTATGAGAGATTATTGGACGATAGAGCTCTAAGCTGAGAGCTTTGGTTAAGAGTAGCTTATTAGCCGAGTTTGTCGGGTTTTGTATTTTATGACACCAATTTCGTTGGTTTTCGATGGACTGTGTGGGCTTTCTGTTAGTTAAGATAGAGTAGTAGAAGTTTTAATTAATGTTGCTTCATGAATTGACTAGTGAGAATGGTATCAAAGGTATTGTAGGAGTTTAACTCGTGCTACAATAAAATAGAAAGATAGCACGAAGCATTGAGAGATGATGTGGTGATTCTGATATTTGTACGGAAAGAGATGAGTTCTTGATGCAATTTTATTCTTAGACTCAGGGCTGAGTTGAATTGCTTGAATTCTCGAAGAGATGTTCACGAATTCGTCTTACATTTCTAAAATAGAGAAGTTTCATGTGGAATTTTTTAGTTAAGTCTTTAGATTTGTTGAACTTTATGATTTTGGAAAGTTCCGAAAGTCAGTCTAGTTTTAAAGTTTGAGTCTTTATGAATTGCAGAGTTGCATAGATTTGGTGGAGGACTTGTAGAAGGAGAAGGCAAAGATGGAGTATCGCCCAATCCGGACATAAAGCAAACAGGACCAAACCCGAAAGGACATTYCGACACATTGTGGATGCTAACGCTTCGAAYTGTTTCTGTGGAAAGGAGGACAATTGTTGGTGCTCTAACTGGAGAAGGAAATGAAGAGCCTGAATCTGATAGGAACCGAGCAGAAGAAGCTATGCAGATGAAACTAGCCTCATAGAAGACTCCAAGACAAAAGAGGATAACAGAACCATCTGATAGTATTTTATGTTGAACTGATGTTTTAGGATTATATTTGGTACTTTGAACTGATGTTTTAGGATGTGTTATAGGTACTTCTGTGTAACTGAGATTTTATTGTGATGTTGAATTTATCTTCTAGGTTAAACTTGTTTTGGTACTACTGGTGTTTTAAGATACTACTGATTGTTATTAGTACTACTGGTATTTTTATGTATAAGATTATTTTCAGCATTAAACACATGTTTTTGAAAAAATAATAAACAAATACCACATTTAACACATGCGCCGTCATATGAATTTAAAATACTAAAACTTTACTTACAGTTATACTTATTTACCTAGTAGTACCATATTACACACAATTATATTTTGATACTTTTCAAGTATAATCAGTTATACGGGATTCAAACACTAATGTTTGCAGTAGTACTCCTCAAATTATTCTAATTAAATACATTTATTATAGTTCCATATATTAACATTTTTGAAAACACAATGTTTGGTTGTTCAACATAACAATTAGGATTTCCATTCACACTTTAACCTATAAATGTAAGATAGTTTTAGTAAAAAAATGTTTTAGTGTAATATTAGTTTTTGTAAAAACATATGTACTCAGTATTACCTAAGATACGAATTATTTCAAATGCAACATAACTAATAAGCACAAATCCGATGAACACACAAATTAAAGATGAACAAAAACAACATACAACTTAAGTCTCATAGTTATACCCAATTTTACTAGTAGTACCTGACAGATAAAACATACAAATTAACCGTCACAGTTATACATAGTTTTACCTAGTAGTACCTAGAAGTACATGGTAGAGAGAACATCATCAAGTGAAATCGCATAGTTATACCCAATAATACCTGACAGAGAAAACACACAAATTAACCGTCACAGTTATACATAGTTATACCCAGTAGTACCTAGTAGTACCTGGCAGAGAGATCACCACAAATTAAGAACCATTTTGCCTACTCCTCCTCTACATCGGGGTCGCTCACAAAATAGTTATACAATCTCCG